GAGTACGTACTGGATGATGGAGATGTTGCTGGTAGGTAGGGATGATAATTGTTAGGTGCTTTCCTCTTCAACATGCATTCTCTTGGTTCCCGCCAGGAATAACACGTGGAATGGTGCTGACCCGTCGAAGCCGGACTGTTGGTAGAGAGACAATAGGAAGCCTTCCGTCACAGCACAGCACAGGGTAACAATTACGGTCGGGATAGGGAAGACGCATCTGAGGCGCATCTGCGGGAAAAGTGCGGCAGGTACCATTACATAATGGAGTACGAAGTACACAAGGTAGCATCGTTAATGGCCTGTTGGTCGGCCACTTGTATTGCTCGGCCATCCAAGGGCATCTCCCACCCGCGACTCCTGTTGTATAGGCGGGTGCCGCCCCTAGATGATCGAGATATGCTGTAGGCCGGCCATGTTAGTTTGTATGTAGGTACATTGCAGAATGAGTGAAGGTGCGAACCGAGGTTGTCTCTCTGGTACTTGCCCGCTCCCATCCCACTTTCACATCATCGGTAAAGACCCACTCAACGCGGTTTCCCTTCCAGCCCGTTCCCGCCGTTCGATGGTGGGGCCGCTTGGCGCGGCGACGGAGAGCCCCAGGGGCATTGAGAAGGCAGGTCTTCGGTATCGAAGTTGGAAGGTTCATTCGTACTTATTGATAGACCTAAGAAATGACCTTGTTCCTTCCCATCAGTTACGTACGTAGTAGCTCTGAGTGGCTGCGGTGTCAAGGATTCCCGACGGTTTAAACGTGCCCCAGTCGTCCTCACGACTTCCGCTCCCCAGAAGGATGATTGTTGACATCATAGCCTCCTGTCGAAAGCTTGGCAGCCCCGAGCCGGGTCCTTCTGAGACGAAACATCTCATGCCACCGGAGACGGGTCCTGAAATAGGTAGGCACACATCAGTAATCACCCAGGAAATCAACTGAAGTGGGGGGAACAGGCAGCACCAGAAACATCAGTGAATTGTCTGCGGAGACACATTCTGCCGCCGTTCAAAGACGTTCGTCTCTCGACTCGCCAATACCATAGGCAGCTCAAAGGTATTAACAAAAAGAATACTTGTATATATCATCAACGCTGTTACCTACTTGCCTATGTACAGTATTTATTAGTAGTTCCTTACTCTGTAATAAGCGATCGAAGTAAGCACTCATTTAGCTCTAAAAGTCAGAGATGCACAATTGTCATTGCCTGATGTCTCAGCAATCGCTACTAGCGCCATCACCGCCAAAGACAAGCTGGGTAGTTGGAACTGCTGCCGATACATAACGTTATTGGCCTATACATGGGATAACATATGTACACCACGTATGCCTCTATATTGTATTCCATATATCTAGATCCGTCCGGATAGGGCGTCGTCATTCTGCCGCTTGGAGACCAAGTTTACGGCAAGGTACTTATACATATAGAATCAACGCACGTGGATTAGGTACCATATGGCGTTAATTACCCCATTGATCGGCTTACGCTACCAAGAAGCCCGGCCACTCCACCCATGACAAGGGGACAACGACCCTACACGGTGGCTGAACAATTCGGTAGGCCAAGCATTACGATTAACGCGGTAGCTTGGATAGGTGACGCAGCTGAACCGAACGGTAAGCTGAGGTCCCTCGGCAGAATTACCTAGCTCGTCCCATCCCTCACCACAGCATCCACCATGTCCACAACAAAACCAAACACCGAAGATCCCACCATCAAATCGAAAGCCACCGGCACTGCGGAAATACCCCCCCAGGGCACAACCCAGGGCGCAAAGTGCAAGAATGCTTGTAAGCAGACCGTCAACAGGAGAGAAAAGCAAGCGCGACGAGACGAAAATCACTGACGAGCAATCAATCTCCCAGTCGCAGAACTCATGGCCCCCAAGCCGAAGCCACCACACGTATCCCGGGCTCTAGCCTCGATGTTCGGTGCGCGCGATGCGCTGGGCGCATACACAGCAGACCCAGCGCGCTTCCCGCCGAGCCGCGTAATCTACCACAACGAGTCCTTCGTCGCAATCAACGACCTGTACCCGAAAGCAAGCGTGCACACCCTCCTCCTCCCGCGCTCGCCCCACAGCCGCCAGCACCCGTTCGACGCCTTCGAGGACGTCGAGTTCCTAACCGCCGTGCGGGAGGAGGTCACGCAGCTGAAGCGTCTAGGGGCGAAGGAGCTACAACGGCGGCACGGCCCGGACAGCGCGCAGGACAAGCTGCGCGAGGGCGTTCTGAACGGCGACGTGGAGTGGGAGGACGGGGCGCCGCTGCCGGCGGGCCGGGACTGGGAGAAGGAGTTCCTCGTCGGCGTGCACGCGCACCCGTCCATGAACGACCTGCACGTGCATGTGCTCTCGCGCGACATGGTCTCCGAGAGCATGCGCCAGCGCAAGCACTACCAGTCCTTCAACACGGGGTTCCTTGTTCCCATTGCTGATTTCCCGCTGGCGGCTGATGATCCCCGGCGGAATCCCGCGCTCACCAGCTCGTACTTGAAGAGCGACCTTCGGTGCTGGCGTTGCGGACGGGTGTTCGGGAATCGGTTTAAGGAGCTCAAGACGCATCTTGCTGAGGAATTCGAGGAGTGGAAGAAGGAATGACGTGTCTGGACAGGCTTCCGGCCGTAGATCGTCGATCGGGGGGAGCATATGATACCTAAGTACAGTATGAATTATAATACCTATAATATCGTAATTGTTCTGAGTAGGGTTGCGGGCTCGCACCAGGCCAAGGAGAGCCAAGCGGCCGGCCTAGTTGAGGATCCACGGTTGAGACACCACGGTTGAGACACCACGATCGGATGTACATAGCAACACGATGTGCTATGGGGATCGATGCAGCGAACTCAGCTCTAGCTAGAAGGCATGGCATGAGGAGGGGTGGTGGTGAATCACACACTTGGCAGTAATCAGGAGTTTGCACAGATAGCCAGGAAGCAGCTCGACTCCCTGCTCAGAAAATCCTCGTTGAAACAAAACTGGTAATTGTTGTCAATTACATGTGACCTCGTCCAGAACACAACCTAATAACTCCGCCTGTTCTCTTTTGTCATCAAGACTTGATTACCCTTATATTTATTTGTACAGGCCCTGAAGATGAGCGTTACTATTGCGGTAGCACCGCTTCAGGGTCATAATATCGGCGAGGACTGCCAGCCAGCTTCGACAGACCCTGCCTAGTGTCGTCATATTGTTTTTGTTTTCAACGCCGCCGGTCCTCAGAATAGATGAATAGACTTTACACGCCAGGCTTTCTGGCCTTTGCTGTAGCGCTCTTCTAACCCTACGGATACCCCGATCAGTAATGCTCTGGAAATAGATAAAATGGGACGGGTTGTTCGCTGAGCTCGTCTTCTTATCCCACCGGGCTTAGTCGGGGGAGGAATTGGGGACGGAGGAGCGCTACCTCTAGGCCGAAGTTCACGTTTTCGCCAAGGGGGGGGTCTTCGGCACCGTCTTCCATCGCGAAATCTGCATCGGCAGCGGCATCCGTATCGGCGGCAGCAGCGACGTCTGCATCGGTAACGGCGTCTATAGTTACATAGCACGGGTTATTCTATTAGTTGTTTAAGAATGAAACAACATGCCCGCGCATACCTGCTTCAGCGTCGGCATCTTCGTTCTCTGCGTCGGGCTCGCTCTCCTGCGGTTTGCGCTCTGTCCTGGCAGCGTCTTCCGTCTCGGCGGGCGCCGTGGCATCCTGAGGCGCGGGGGCACCTTTCACCTTCGGGGGTCGGCCGCGGCGTCTGCCGGTACTGGCCACGGGCTTCCTCGCTGATTTGGCTTTCTTCACGCCGGCGCCGGATCCTGGAGGGCGGCCACGAGGGCGACCGGTTGGTGCTTTCTTTGGCTGAGGCGCAATGCCATTCTTAGGCGGTCTGCCGCGTCCACGCTTGACTGGAGGTGCTGGGGGCACATCGGCGGGCGTTTCGGTGGGTGTCTCGGTGGGCTTCGGGGGTGTGCGGTCCTCGTTAACCGTGTGTGTAGGTTCTGTCGAGTCCATGGCTATGTGTGTGCGCAAATGACTGAGATGGGGAGACAAGGGAGGAAAATTATGCGAAAAAAAAAACCAAATAAAATGGAGAAGGAAGGTATATCGCGACACTGATACTTGTGGGCTAATTCGATACAAAAGTGAAAGGAATTATTCAACCCAAGATGAGTTGTTTGGGAAAGAAGTGAGGTTGAAGGGATTTGGAAGAGGGAGAGACCGTAGGTTTAAGCGTGGGAGCTGTTTGTTCTATCTAAAGCTGGCTCCTTAGATAATACAACCTTGGCGAGAGGCGAGACGGTAGCTGCTCAACCGTAGCCTCAGCCGGGGTCTCCAGGTTTCAGCTCGTGCTGGGGAATGTTACTACAGCAGGTACGAAGCGCACATGCCATCGCCGGCCAAAATTGTGTCGAGTGCCAAGACATGGAAGAGTGGACGGTGTTTGCAAGCCACTCTCAGACTGTATTTCCCGACTGTTCATATTCCGCCAATAGCTGCTCAAGCCACATCTCTTGCCTAAGCCTTAATAATTTTCAGAGCATTTCGCCGACTAAATTGTAGCTGAGTTATAGTGCGAATAATATTATTGCACACGGTGACTATAGTCTCAAGTTCTCCGTTTTCGCTATCTACCAAGCCTTTCTGGATTCCCTCAACTCCTAACCACCATCCACCTTGACACGATCTCCATAAGTTAACGATGCTATCCATTACACACATAGCTACCTAGTTATCTCTAACACTTCTGCCATTTTCTGCCTACTATTCGTGACATGGACAGACTCATTTCATCCAGATCTAGCGCATCATTCATCCTGACACCCGTCGTATATGGCCCTAATTCTTTTGCGATTTGGCCACGACCGGAGCCTTTTGACCCGGGTGTTTATGTCGCCACAATCAAGAGCTTAGAGCCGAGTCTAGAGTCAACCGAAAACAGTACCATCTGACTCAGTGCGCCCTTGATTTTCGGCCCTCGGATTTCAGCTTTCGGGCTAGTTTTGGTGGGAACAAAACGTCTGGTCCCATAGCTCAGTTGGTTAGAGCGTCGTACTAATATTACAAGCAATTTGTAACATGAAGTAAATGCGAAGGCCGTGAGTTCAAGCCTCACTGGGACCATCGTTTTGCTTTTTGGGCTTGACAAGCCCCGAACTTGACGCTGCTAGATAGTCTGGAGGATCCACGCTTGGGGGAAAAGTCTGCCCTGTGATGGGATACAGGCATCCTGTTATGTGGACCGTTACAGATTGCAGCGCAACTTTGAGGCGCCTAGGGACGTTCCAGATGTCAAATGGGTCATCAAGGCCCGTATCATATCTTCTTATTAGCCCGTCGTCGTCGTCGTCGTCGTCGTCGCGGGAAGCTCAGGGGATTCCTATCTATCGAGCGCTCTATAATCAATCTGAGTTGTTTTATAGACCTTCCGCGTTACTCCTATTTCTCGACGACGAAAGAAGACGCAAGTTCCGCCCGAGCGTCAAATCTTAGGCCGATACTTATGGCCACAACAATAATCGTGGCCTCTTTGCAATTCGCCCTTCAACCAGGCATCACCCAATCTCTGCGGTTGGCACATTGACAGGAATGCAAACTGACCGAGTTTTGAAAGGTATAGGGGATCCCTCATTGATCATTGTGCTCCTTGAACACCTTGCTAACCACCTCAAGCGACCAGAAGTGTGTTCTGGCACAGCCACCCATGCTTTCAATGCAGGGATTTCACCCGGTAGGACCGTCAGCTCCTGTCGCTGTTACGTCTTTCGAATTGCTTCACTTGATGAAGACTTGCCTCGTATGGGTACTAAGCCATAACAATTCCCAACGCTTTCACGTATTCTGGCAAGACTAGAATTAAACTATCGCACCGTCAGTCACAATGTGGAGATTATACCTATATCCTCGTTCGCAAATTTGTTTGTTTTTACCAACCGCGCTGGGGTTAATCTTTAAGAAATCACAAAGCTTGACTGGGACCCCCAAAGTGACTACATAACCTACGTTCCTTGCGATAGGTACGAAGTAGGTATTTATACTGCGTGCATCCATGGACCCTTGCAAGCGTACGTTCACAGGGGCAAAATATTAGCCGTAGTAGACCCGTTGACATCATTCCGTATGTTGACAATACGGACTATATTGTGTACGAAATACTGAGTATAACTACTGTAATACTTAGTACAGATTGTGATCCGACAGATTTTTTACGGCAAGACACTGGTACTGCTGGAGCAAATCGATCCACGGCCGCTGGACACACCCTCGGCGGCAGGCTGTGCGAGTCAAAGGGCATTGTCGAAATGTTATTGCCGCCGACGTGACAACGGCGGTATCGTTGACAACGTCGTATAACTCAATCCTTTATCTTAAGGCTGCAACCGAGGGCTCAAGACTGGCCTCATGCACTCACAGTCGTGCTCGGGTTGTCAAGTAAAGATCCATCGACAAGGCTGTATCGATACCTCGTACATGATATCTGTGAAGTATCTACATCATGTAAGCTCATCCCAGGGTTGCAATTGAGGGGGCCAAGACTGGCGTCATGCGTCCATAAACACTCGGTTGCCGGATACGGCATCGCTTCTAATTGACTGACCCCAACATCAGCCTCACCAGAACTCGCGACGGCAAAAACAACGCGCGCTGTTAATGACAGTACGATTATAACAGCTATATATGCTATCCGTGACAGAAACATCCTGAACCTCACCATCTCCTGTCCTCTTTTCGGCTCTCCCTTCATCTTCTCTTTTCTTCTATTGGGAGGAAGGTGACTTCCATCTAATTTCAATGCCTTCACTTAAACGCTGGCTCCAGCGATCAAATCGCACTGGCTCCATTGCATCTATCGAGCGTCACCCAACTTCTGAAGTAGCCGCGACTGTCCATAGGAACACTGTGGCTGGTCACGACACCGCGTCTGATGAGCACCCGCAAGGGCTAGCGGTAGTCTACGAAGATCCCGATGCCAGTCTTGAGTATGTGGTACCCCCATTCTTCCCGCGTGCCCTTGCTTAAACCGCTCATTCAGTATTGTTGCGGTACATGGGCTTAATGGACACCGAGACATGACATGGACCGCGGCCAATGGTGTCCATTGGCTACGTGATCTCCTACCAAAAGATCTTTCTAGCATTCGGGTTCTGACTTGGGGCTATGACGCCAATACTCATTCCCGAAATGGTCTTTCTTGTCAATACCTCTACGACCATGCACTCGAACTCGTTTCCGAGTTGACTCGCAAACGCACTCTGACCGGGGTAAATCGCCTATTACCAATGGCTTGACTGTTGTCCGGGGCTAAAACAATGAGATCTAGTCCACTCAACGACCAATTATTTTCGTAGCACACAGTCTTGGTGGCATTGTGGTGAAAAGTGTAAGTGTTCGTCACCGGCAGCTGGTCAGAATGCAGTGGTGTTCAACTTTTCAATCTAGGCTCTGATTCACTCGGATGCTGCACGAAAAGGCGTGTTTCCCGAGCACCGATCAATAAAGAACTCGACGTATGGTGTAATCTATATGGGTACACCCCATCAAGGTAGCAATGGTGTACGGTTAGGGTGTTCTCTCGTGAACATCACCTCCATTTTCACGGCAGCCGACGACCGCCTACTCAAACATCTAGAAAGAGACTCTGAATGGTTACAGCAGCAGCTTCAGCAATACAATTCAATTAGCAATGAGTTTGTTACTAAGTTCGCATATGAGACATGCGAGACTCCGATGATATCAGGCCACAAGACGCTTGTACGTGTAGAGAATCCATTTGGTTCAAAAGGGTCGTGCCATACATATCTTTCATTATTTTGTTGTTCGCTCCTGGATTCCTCGCTAAGAAAAAGTATAGGTCGTCCAAAGAGAATCTGCCGTTGTGCCTGGTCATGCAGATGCTGAACCAATAGCTATCAATACAGACCATATCAAAATGGTGAAAATTTCTAAAAGCACCGATATGGTCTATGCCAAGGTTTCCGAGACCCTTCAGATTATGGCGGTGGCTGCCAGGGCAAATATTCAATCTCGCTGGGAGGAAGAAGCCCAGATAGACGACGGTAGGTCTCAGGGATAACGCTTTTGTGCAACTGATAGTTCACTTACTTACCGATTAAATTAGCACGGGGCAACATCAATCCTTTTACACTCCCTCTCGATCTGTCGTCTGTTGTCGAGGCGCCTTGTTTTGTGGCAAGAGAAGCAGAACTTTCACAGATGAACGCAATTCTAGGAAAGACTGGAGAGCGTCGAACTGTAATTCTACATGGGCTTGGCGGAATGGGCAAAACACAGCTAGCCCGAGAGTATATCAGGCGTCATCGAACGAATTTCACTGCTGCGATCTGGTTGAACGCCAGAGATACGACATCGCTTAGGCAAAGCTTCGAACGGACCGCCCAGTTAATATCGCGTTACCATCCCACGGCGGTTTACATGAGTACTGCTATCCAAAGCCGAGATCCAGATAAATGTGCGGCGGCTGTCAAGCGATGGTTGGATGAGCCAGAAAATGGCCGCTGGCTCGTCGTTTACGATAATTATGACAATCCTCAGCTAGGTTCTGCTAATCCCGGGGACTTGGAAAGCAGGAATTCGTGTGATGCTGTCCTTGGAGTTGACCAAGCATTTGATATTCGACCGTTTCTCCCAAATGCATTCCACGGCGCGGTCATCATAACGACTCGATCATCCCGAGTCAAGCTTGGCGAGTATATAGAAATCACAAAATTAACTGACCGGAAGGATGCCATTGAGATTTTGGCTTCTACCTCATGTCGAGGTATGCTTAATAAAGGTACATACGGAGAGATCACGCCAAATGTAGCGAGTGGCTAATACAAGTGAGCAGATCCTGATGCCGACGGCCTTGCGCAACGTCTTGATGGGCTGCCTCTAGCCCTGGCAACAGCTGGTATCTACCTCCAAGGAGTTTCTTCAACTACTTTGAAAGAATATCTCAAGATGTACGATGAATCGTGGCTGCGTCTACAGACGAATAGTCCCCAGATCCTCTCTTACGAACGCGCTATGTACTCGATATGGAACATATCCTATACCCATATCAAACACCTGAATCCAGCATCAGCAAAGCTGCTTGACTTATGGGCATACTTTGACAATGAAGATTTATGGTTTGAGTTATTGTTCGACTGGGCATCGTGGGATGGCCGCAGCGAGGACGGTCAGTACCTTGACGGCGTTGCAGACGACAAGATTACTTTTGATGCGGCTGTTCGCTTGCTATGTGATTATGGCCTTGTTGAGCCGGCCACGTCGATAAACAGCGGAACGGAGAGTCAAGGGTATAGTATGCATGAATGTGTGCATTCATGGTCACAACATGTTTTAAACGCTGGGCGTGATAAACCAAGGATGGCCCGACTGGCAACAGTATGCGTCGCGAAGAATGTGCTTAGCCACGATCCTGAAGAAGATCAGGTATTCCGGTGCAGGGTACTAAAGCACGCGGATAGATGCTGGGCAAGGATTAAGGATGGCATGGAGCTAGATGAAGGAGACGGGTGCATTTATCATATATTGGGCTCTCTTTACAGATCCGACGCCCAGTACTCGGAAGCGGAAGATGCATACAATCGGGCACTCCGAGACTATGACAAGACAATGGGGCCCGAAAACATATCGACATTCATCACGGTCAAAAATCTAGGCACTCTTTATATAGACCTAGGCCGGTATGCGGAGGCGGAAGAAAAATATGACCAAGCACTCAGAGGCTACGAAAAGACACTTGGACCTGAAGATGTGTTGACACTCAACACAGTCTACGATCTAGGCAATCTTTATCGGGATCGGGGCCGGTATGCAGAGGCAGAGGAAAAATATGACCGGGCACTCCGAGCCTACGAAAAGGCATATGGACCTGAAGATGTATTGACAATCAACACAATCTTCGATCTAGGCACTCTTTATTTGAATCAAAGCCGGTATGCAGAGGCCAGGGGGATGTATGACCGAGCGCTCCGAGGCTACGAAAAGGCGTTTGGACCCGAACACATGTCGGCGCTCAACACAGTCCACATTCTAGGCGATCTTTATAAGGACCAAGGTCGATATGCAAAGGCAAAAGCGATGTATAGCCGCGCGCTCCGAGGCTATGAAAAGGC